TGTTACTCTTGAGACTCTCTTTAAGTCTGTATGTTACTCTTGAGACTCTCTATGTCTGTATGTTACTCTGAGACTCTCTATGTCGGTTTATTATTTTATGTTGTTTAGTTATTGTCTTATTAACGTATACCCAACATCTCCTTGCATTCAAAAGAAACACACTATACCTATTAATCCTACTATGATCCTCATTCTTTAATGAATATTCAAATGTACGCCAAAGTTTCTATCATCACTGAAGATAAGATTGCATTTGTATTAAACCTTTGTCCTGGGGTTTTCGAGAAGTATGAATAAATAAGTGCGTTTGGTTGAAACTCTTACAATGTAAATAACACAGAACAGAATATTGAATTAAACCTATCGGTCATCATCTACATGTACATGGCCATAATTATTCGTTATAAATATATTTCAGCCAAATTAAATAGTATAAATGTATTATACGTGTGAACATCAGGAGATTTCAAAAATAACTGATGAAAGACTTCTGACAAAAAAAAATATTCTTGCAGCGACTTTCTTTTAAAAAATAAATGTCACCAAATTAATTTTTTAATGTGTTTTACATCAAAACTATCATGGCAAACCATTAAACATGACGAACACTTGTGGTACATGTATATTGCACTGTACTTGTAAAGATATATCATATTGTAAATACAAATATCTACTTTAGATTAGAAACAAAAGTGCTTTTTAGATAACATTTCGTTAACTTTGTATTTATCGATGCTTTTTACTACATATTAAATTAGGGGATATGTGTACATATCAATCAGACGAATGCGTATTTAAACTACACTGAATTAAACTGTATTCTTCCAATTCAGAGCCGGACTTGTTTCTATTATAGTTTTATAGTTTGGAAAGCAATACAAAAATATTTTTTTTAAGAAAAAAGGAAGTATTTTTTCCTCCATAGCCGACAATACTAACAGTTTCAAAATTTGTCACTTTTAATCATTCAAACCTTGACAAAAACGTTTGCGTGATATAAGTGCATTATTTTCATTTTTCAGAAATTCAAGTCAAATGGATGCATGGCCATCTTCCAAGAGAGATTATTTATAGAATCTCCATGGCATATCCAGAAATCAACGCCACTTTGCTTATTTGAATATTATACTAAAGAAATCGGATACGGGTCACGGAAATTATATTGAAATGATAGGGAATTTTGAAAAAAAAAATGTCTGTTTTAACTTTAATTTAAGTGATAGACAGGTTGAGGGGACAGAAAATAAATATACACAACAATATACACCATTTAAACAAAACATAATGACTGTCGTTGCAAAAATCAAGGTTCCTGCGCTATTTAAAAAATCGAAGCGAGAGGCTTTTAACATTGCAGTATAAAATACAGGCTAAAATGGCTGAAACGTCAAATTTGCACATCGTGTTGAAAATTGGCTAACAAGGTCATTACAAAAACAGGTTGCGGGGATGAAACTTGAAACTTGAATGTCCAAAGAATAAGCAAGTCCAAACCTTGTAGGTGTAGTCGTTGAACTCTAGGTTCCCACGTAAAGTTAAAATGCTCCTATTTCAAGAAGAATAAACTCACGAAAACACGAAAAATTTACTGAATTCGCGTTTATTGTTTTGATTTTGACCGCCTGACAACTTTACGGAAATATCAGAGTGATTATAAAAAAGGACTCTGTGACGGGCAACTTATAATATCCGTGTTTCAAAGATTTTAATGATATAAAGCCAGTTCAGTTCAAACTATTGTTACGTTGTACAATTCTCATTTACATATTATGAATATTAATTAGCAAAAGTACTACTAATTTCTAGCTATGGGCAACCGTCATTTTACATAATTTTTTTGAAAATTTAGATACCTTTTGGAATATTTCTAAAGAAAATATTTCCCTGCGCTTAAAAATCTATATTGTAAATATACACACTGCAGTAATTCATAAATAAATTTAGAAAAATACATACCTTAACAACCAATCACAGCGCTCCTAAGTTGACTTCCTTCATCTACCTTGTGTACACAAAAGGCCAACCTAATGCTTGGAAAATGAAATACTATTTTTTCCCTATACTGGGATATTATGATACGTGTATAAAGATTCTTAAGATACTTAAGATACCAGCAATGCAATGCTGGGCTATCTTTAAACTATTTGCTATAAGGAATACATGTACTCCTCTGTCCCTTTTACTTATAGAAACATGGATCACTTTTTGCTCCTACTACTACATTGTACATTCTAGTTTGTATCTTTGTATAGTTTATATATATAGCATGTATCTTTTTGCTATTTCTTCCAGATCAAACACGATAAACTACCTGTATCTATTCATTTCTTACATCATTTAATGATTGATTGTTGGTTGCTTAACGTCCAGTGGCAAATATTTCATGCATGTTTAGGACGAGAACAAATTAACAATAAATGTAATAGGTAGGTCTTGTAATAGAAGCCGTCCGTAATGAAGATCGGGGAAATTTCGACTGCCAATGGAAAATAAGGGTATATTGGATAGGGACAGAATTTTGGCCTTGACATAGGCCACTTACGGACCCCTCAAAGAGTTGTTTTAAGGGTTTTTATCGTGCAGAGAGCGTGGATCTCGCTCTACACGAGGCATCGGTCTTTACGTCCCCATTCTGACCGGACGTGGCTGCGTACTTTATACATTCTGCACAATCAAATGGACACCCCACTTTGGCAAGGGTTTTACTGCCGGTCGGAAGAAGACCTGTGATGACCATATTTCTATTCCCCAGTCCGCCTTTGGATACATTATTTAAAAAGAATTGAAAAAATATATACCATTTAAACAGATAAAATGTCTGTTTCATTCAATGTCACTTCATTTTGTCCAAAATAAGCACAAAATCAATATTATCCATACTAATCTCCGTTCCGTGCTTTAGTGTATGCTATATTTGGTCCAAAATGTTAGAGCCTGTAATATCAAGTCACTAGTACTGTCTTGAGATGATGAGGAATAGATATTGGACACTTTAGACATTAAAGTTAAGTTGCTTTTAATGAGGATGTGGATGGATGTTTACAGAATAGAGAATACTGGGCGACAAATATAAAGAATAGAGAAAAATGGACCAAAAAAACAATAAATAGAAAATAATGAGGTGCTAAAATATAAAAAAAATAGAGAATAATGGGCAAATACATGTAGTATAAAGAAAACAGAAAAATGACCTTAAAAATTAAAGAATACAGAAATGAAGGACCCCAATCCAGACCCTCTTTAATGCCTGTATTTATCTATAAAAAGCTGAATTATGTCTCTTGTGAGTTTTTATTTTTCAAAAAATAACCCATAAAATTAGAAACTGAAAGACTAGATATATTTGAAGTAATAAAAGATAAAAAATATATATAAATGTTTGATGTATGAAGTGACAAGAGGGTAAACAATTCTTTACAACGGAGAGTGTACATTCTATATAGATTTGGCATGAATAGGGCCTCTTTTTTCCATGGATGGACACCTTTAACACTAAAAATTCGTCTTATTTGCCAAATATTGACTTATAAAAGTAAGAAGATGTGGCATGATTGCCAATGAGACAACTTGCTACTAGAGTCTTACTCCATACACAGTATAAAATAAATCAAACAGTTTCCAATGTTAATAGATTATGTCTTTGGAAATATCCAAATGATACAGATAAAAGCTTTGAAATAGAGCAATTTAACTGAAATCTGAACGATTGCTGTCTTCAGTAAAGGAAAAACGGTAGGTTTTTTTTACAACATCCATGGCAACCGTTATTTTACATCAAATTTACGAAGATTTGGAAGCATTTGAGAATAATTCTCGATAAAATATTTCTCAACGTTTCAAAATCTATATTGTAAATAGATAATAAAAATATATTTTCGCATTACAACCAATTACAACGTTCCAAATGTGACTTCCTTCACCTGCCTTTGATACACAAAATGCCATCCTACATGTAATGACGAGGGGTGGGGGATGGATTCTACTTTTTTCCATGAAAAACGATAGCAGCTATCGTGCATCATTTTCTATCATTTAACAAATCCGCTGCTTAACTAATAAATATTATGAAGAAAGAATACGAAAGAAGAAACTTTTTTTCATTAAGTCGCCGTTATGTGGCTGGAACAATCTAAGCATTTCAGTGTTGCAAGATTAGAAATATAATATATGATAAATCAACATAATTATGTGACCTCTGGTGAGCAATATTTTGTCATTGATCTTCAATTTCAAACGCAAGGGTTTTAAGATATAGATAAATAAATAACTTGATAACTTATGCTCGACAATAAGACCAAATAATAAGTTGATGTCTATTTAGCTGTGCATGCTCCAAACATAGGCCAGCACATACTATCTGATTAAAGACGTTAAATTTAAGACAAGTAACGGGAGAGTTGCACTCTCCACGACCCGGGGCGTCAATTCGTCAGGAAGGATCTATTCAATGAACTATAAAATGTACTATAAAATGTATAATAAAGTCCTTTTTACTTTTCGAAGCAAATTAAGATTATTCGGCACATTCCTTGTCATAGTTTGTTCTTGCCTTAAATATGCATGAAATATTTGGTACCTGACATGAAGGAGACCTACAGTAACATAAATGCATAATACCGATTTCTGTGCGATCTTTGTGTGTTTTTCTAAGTATACTCGCGAGTATTTTCTGATTGTGAGACAAAAAAAAATTAAGTTAAAAAACTAAACGGTTGCAATTTTAGAAACAGTTTAACTAAGTGCAAAATATGAATTGAAAATTCTGACAAATTATCTTTTTAAGTTGTTTCTGTATCATTTTATGATTGATTGATTTTTGGTAGCTTGACGTTCAGTGGCAAATATTTCATGCATGTCTATGAAAAAAAAATTAAAGTATGATTATACTAGGATTACCAGTAAAGTCACACACATACCACCTAATCATATATCACAATTTATTCAATTCATCATTTTAAACATACTACAAGGACACAATGTTAATAGTAAAATATAAAATCACGTGACAGTGATTCATAAAACATCACATGATTTGTGTATTAGTAAGAAGACAATATGTATTTGTTTTAACATAAAACTAATAGGTAAGATCGATACTTTTATAAACACTTGTACATTTATCTAATAAGTAAACCAACGAATTTTATAATTTATATCTTTTTATAATTTTTACAAAGACACCGTTAACAAAATTAACTTGCATGCAAAATAAGTATTTTTTAGAAGCCAAAATGTTTCATTGATACAACTTTGAAACACATACACTATTTGGCAATGTTTAAAATCACATTTTTGTAAAAATAAGTACATTGAAAATTTATTTTTAGAATATATATATATATATATATATATATATATATATATATATAAAGTCAAGGTAAAAGTATACTGTGTACAAGATATATTATCCTTAATACTTCCTGTTTTAATATACGCGTACATCTGTTGTACATACAAATGTTACGTTACGTGTAATATTATATTGATTATTGAATATATGAACTACATGTATCTTTCTTTCTACCGAAATGAACTGTACGGTTGCCTTTAACTGCTTTCATCCACTTCATTTGAACTTTGGTGGATAGTTGTCTCATTGGCAATCATACCACATCTCCTTATTTTTTTATATCCTATGTTAAATGTGTTACAAAGATTTGTACACGTAAACTACTGTCCACAACCTTTTCATATATTTCGTCTTAATTTCTCGACCTTATTGTTTGCAATGTAGCTAAAAATAGTGCCCAATTACGGCAATTGTTGCAATATATGGAATAGGATCCCAGTTACGGCAACCAGTCCAGTACCCACGAATGTAGTTCTTAAAAAAAATTTATAACTTTTATTAAATGGTGTAGTGTTACTATTACACAAGTTCCGTAACTGAATGTAGATTTATTTGAAGGGGAAGGCTTTCTAGTTGGAATTTCTGTAAAAATTTTGATTGATTTAACTGTAATCTGGCTTCAGTACATAGAGTAAATTGCCTAAATTCTAGCCTTTATTCTTCCCCGGAAGTAGACGGACTGTCCCTGTTGTCAATCAAAACAAAATTTTGCAACGGAATGCCGGTCATGAGGCACTGAGATTATACTTAGAAACTCCAAAACGAATGCCTAACATGAACCAGAAGTCCCAAGGTGGCTATCAAAATTATTACGCGAATAGCACCCCATTTATTTACTATGATTTTCAATGCGTTTCAATGGGGCAAATACCTGGGTCCCCGTTCCATATATTGTAAACACAAGGAACAATGCATACGTTTAGACACACTATCGAAATAAATGTTAGGTTACTCGACAGATGATAAATATAGGGTAAGTAATTCGAGTAGGCAGACGAACAATTTCGATAAAAAAAACTGTTCGAAAGAGAGGAAATGGCATGCTTCACACATGAGAAGCTATACACCATTTAGTTCTTGCCGTTGTGGGTTATTATCTTGTAATCAATTATATAGTTAAATATATAATAATCCCTATCTATTAATCTGGGTTTTTCGTTAACTTTGTACTACTGATAGTTATCTGAAAGGAATCCATCTTCTTTTGTTGTAATAAGGGTGGGTGTAGATAGAATTTACATGATAGAAAATAATAGGCCAAAAATTAAGAATAGAATACAATTGTACAACAAAATATAATGAATACAAATCATTGGGACGAAAAAAAAAGACAGATTACCGATTAATAAGCCAAAACAAGTTGCTTTCTTTAAAAAAAAAAAGTAAAACAACACGTGAACCCGATCGAGCCCGCTGACTGGTTATCACAAAACTGTTGTTTGATTTTTTTTTGATTTTTCTATTTGAAATAATTGACTATGAATAGAATAAGGTAATGATGATGTTAAAATATCTTTATTGAAAATATTTAATTTTGTGTAAATTTTAGCACAAGTCAATTGAAATCAATGTTTGATTTTAGTTGTGAATAGAAGAGTGTATAAATACAACTACTACTTGAATTTACCTTTTAAGGCTTGACTATTTTATTTATCCCTTAAGGAGTGTACATCATTTTTTTCTGATTCTATTGCAAATCCCATTTTCTGCAAACCGGATGTCTAATACAAATTGCACAAAGCAATCACAATATAAATTTAAGCACTCATTTTGCTTCATAATCTGGATGCATTTATTTCATCTATCATATCTTCATATTTTGTTTCCTGGATGCCTTCAATTATTTTATACTCGTTATTAAAGCTATCTGTACTCATGGTAGATATTGTATAGATAAATTTAAAGTCCAATTTCCATGTGGCATGCAACTTATAAGAAGGTTTTGTATATTTCTTGAGAGTAACACACCAGCTTCATTGGGACCTCTTATATACTGACAATTATTTTGGTCTCATAAAACAATTCAAATTTTAAGGCTTTCCTGAAGTTACTTAAATCAATCCAAATATTCTACAGGAAAATTTGGTTTTGAAGAATATCTTATTTACAGAAGTGTTATGAATACCTGAACATACTCTGAAAAGAAACCAATTTATATAAAAAGATATGTAGATATAGAAAGATACCAGGATAAATATGTTGTACGCCAGACGCGAGTTTAGTCTACAACAGACTCATCAGTGACGCTCGAATAAAGTTAAAAAGGTCAAATAAAGTACGAAGTTGACTATTCATTGAGGACCCAAAATTTCGAAACAAAGGTTTTATCGAAAACATCTAAGACAATCTGTTCCTAGGGTAGAAAGTCTTTAGCATTTCGAAAATGTCAAAGTTTATAAAAGGACAGTCACTCAAAAAAAAAAAAAGAAAAGAAAAGAGTAACAGCTAAAGTAATGATGACCTTGTTTGAAAGTCACATGTCAAGCTCCTGAATTAAGATAAGAAATGCGAAAATTCACATTCGCGAGTGAAATTAATATTTATGCATGCACTTGGTTTTCTTGCGCAAGAAATAGTAAATAGAAAGCATACGCACTGATACTTTGGATAAGAATTCGAATTTGCGTCATCACATATTAATCTAGGCTCAAATCTAATGTTCAATAGTTGGATTAGGATGTCAAACTACCTACCTCCGGATACATTGCCCTTTAATCCGGAATTTCGGTGTGTCGTGTGAACAGGGTGATATATAATGTACCATATGGATCTGCTTACCCTTCCGGAGCACATGAGATCACCCCCAGTTTTTGGTGGGGTTCGTGTTGCTTAGTCTTTAGTTTTCTATGTTGTGTCATCTGTACTATTATTTGTCTGTTTGTCTTTTTATTTTTGGCCATGACGTTGTCAGTTTGTTTTCGATCTATGAGTTTGACTGTCCCTCTGGTATCTTTCGTCCCTCTTTTTTGCAAAGATTTAGATGCTACAAGGTTGAACTAATTAAAAAAGAAAAGATCTGAAATGTAACATACCTTCATGTTAATGAATCTTTTCCGAAAATTAAGAATATAATATCAATAAATACAAAATATTTACTGATGGACATTTTATTTATCAAATCAATCTCTCCTTAAAGTCTTACTTTCCACTATATGAATGTATTTCTATACAAAATATAAGCAGAGACTTATTAAACCATACTGAGACAGTATAGAATAATTAACGTAGTAATTAATTTTTTTTATGATTATTGTAAAATATTAATTACGTTTTTTGTGAGATGCAAGAATTTAAAATCACCGTGCAATAGATATAAGAAGATGTGGTATGAGTGCCAATGAGACAACTCTCCATCCAAGTCAAAATTTATAAAAGTAAACCATTATAGGTCACAGTACGGTCTTCAACACGGGGCCTTGGCTCACACCGAACAGTAAGCTATAAAGGGCCCCAAAAAATTACTAGTGTAAAACCATTCAAACGGGAAAACCAACGGTCTAATCTATATAAAAAACGAGAAACGAGAAACACTTATGAACCACATCAACAAACGACAACTACTGAACATCAGATTCCTGACTCAGGACAGGTGCAAACAAATGCAGCGGGTTTAAACGTTTTAATGGTACCAAACCTTCACCCTTTTTCCGAAACAATAGTGTGACATCACAACATAGAAAGACACACTATAAAATATCAACTGAAATAGCTTAACTCAATCAAAGGACATATTAACACCATTGAACATACACCGAACAAATAAATGTGACCTATGACACAATGTAAATACAATATAAATAAACTAAGGGAAGAATAATAAAAGTAACATGTTATATCGGTAAGAAATGTTAAACAATTAAAGAAAAACAATATGCTCGAACAAAAATATCAGCCATTTGCACTAACTTTAAACACAGGTAAATGAAAATAATTTTGTTGTTAGGTATACGTGTATAGTACCAATGGAGAAAGGAAATATTTTTACAAAATAAATGATTTTGATGTTCATAGTACGTAGTGAAAATTTATAGTTATACCAAACACTTATCAAAGCTGGTATATAGACCAGATATAACCCTGAATAACATTAAATAACAAAAAAGCAATACAATTAGTATCAACAGGTCAAATAAACAAGAAAGTACGATTTGAGAGTACTCGCAGTTACTGACAGCTAGTTAAAAGCCAAAACAATTAAGTATGTTTTCATTCACTACCGTTTAAAATTTAGATACTAACTTATATGTACGCATACCTGCTCAAACAAATCCTTTTGTTTAATTATCTTTCTGATTAACTATCACTGTTTTTCCGACCTAAGATATATATTTATAACAGTAATATCGTTTTGTTAATTTTCTTCATGCTTTTCGACATTTTCCAAGGCTATGATTGGAATATAAAATATCACGTGGTAACCGTTCAGAAATAATCAGTTTATTCTTGGACATTATATATTAATAAACTATTCCCAGGTTTATTGTCACAATTCATAATTAGCACTCTGTATCAAATACTACTACACACACAACGCGTACAGGGACCGTCTCAAAACATGAATTATATACTAGTACAGAATTGCGTTATTATTAAACTTGATATTTAATAACAGTGTAAACACTCGCATTTTTTAAACACATATGTTTTGTCAAAAGGCAAATAGGTTCGTATATATAAATGATTTTTAACTGCAACATAGTGTTTGTTTTTTTTTTTACTTTCCAATCTACAAATGAACTTTGATTGTTGAAATATATAATGTCACGTGGTAGCCTATCAATAGAGGGACTGTATCAAAGACATAGATAACTAGCTGTATAATGATCAAAAATTGTTGAGAGGTTCCGAGAATCTTGTTTCCGAAGATTCCCAAATGGCCCATGGGATCTACCAATACTTACCAATATATAGGCGTGAACCACTCGGGGGTTCACGCAAAAATAGAAATAGAAAGAATAATGGGTGGAGAAAATATAAAGAATTGAGAATAATTTTAATTGGAAAAGCGAATAGAGAAAAATTGCCTCAAATTAAATAAATCAGAAATGAAAATCCTGTTTCCAGACCCTCTTTTATTTTCGCTTTTTCTCCAATATAGACTGTTTCTATTCCCCTTCCGCTTACTGCATTGTAGAAAATACAAGATATTTTTAGCCTTTGTTCTACTCTTGATCCAACCCATTTGTGTATAAGAAATTGTCTTGTGTGATTTGCCAATCTCTGGTATTTCTTTGAAATGAATTAGTAATTTTGAATGAATTTCTTGTCTAATAGTTTTGATCTTATTTTGGTATCATTTCAGAAAATCACCATTAAAGAGCTATCATGGGGAAAGGTCTAGGAGGAGGAGCAAAAGGTTGCCTGTCAGCTATCATATGGCTTCTTCTTTTATGGTTTGTGGCATGGCCTATAGCATTTTTACTTGCCTGGGTATACATATTCCTATTGCCATTTGGAGCATGCGTAGACGCTATTAGATCGATAAATGAACAATTGGTGCGCATATTACAACTTCCATTGACTTGTGCTCAGAATATGATAGACATGAAACCTATTTGTTAGTGCAGTATTCCTCTGATAGTTGCTAAATTGAATTAAAACATCACTTTTGTAATTCTCGTGTAAATCTTCTGTTTTAATTTTATATTCATATTTGTTTTAAGTCTTATTTATATATGGTATATTGTTATATTTTTATTCATTATAATTCAAAAATTATAGTTATTTTTTATTATTTTATTTATTTGCATAGTAATCAGCAACGATTTATACTGATGCATATTATGTTTTATTTGACAATATGTATGAAATGATATTCAGGGTATAAGTAACTAAAACAATCCAATATGACAAATAACTTAAATATTTGAAGATGCTATCATACGGTTTACATCAACTGAAAAGTGTCTTTAGATGTAAATTGATTGATCCTTAGTTCATGCACTTATAGTAGTAATTAATTTATGCATATTGAGGACTAGAACACATTTACATGTGAGCAAGTCACTTGTGAACCATGTACCAGCCACCCGAGGATCCATCAGAGAGTTGTTGCTAGGATTCGTTAGTGAGCATAGAGCGTGACACTCTCCCAATACTAAGCACTGGATTAAACGTCCCCGTTTCGACCGGAATGGTAAGTGACTTGCTCACATACAATTAACACAATACATATGTTCTGCAAGCTAGTCGACCGGGATGAAGGGTGGGAAATTTGAACTCTCACTTAATATTAGGGTATGTCTGTTAGGGGCAGAAATTTACCCATGTACCAGCCACCCGAGGATCCATCAGAGAGTTGTTACAAGGATTCGTTAGTGAGCATAGAGCGTGACACTCTCCCAATACTAGGCACTGGATTAAACGTCCCCGTTTCGACCGGAATGGTAATCAGACGCCATATTTTAACAAGGTTTATACTGCCGGAAAGAGAGATGTCCGGGTGACTAAATGTGTATACCCGAGGCAGCTATGAGATATGCACCAGTTAGTAATAATAAAACAAAGATCAGTAATCAGTAGCACATCATTTGAAGGACAATACCAAGTATGACGGAGGTGTTATTGAATGTATTTGTGCCTTCATTGAAGTTGGGTGCATCTTTCCGTGTAGGTTGCACTTTTTACTTTGATCAAATGCAAACGGAAGTTTTAAGATGCACAGCTGTTTTCATATCTCGATAAATATCTACAAATTATACAGAGGTAAACACTGATTTTACGCGATAATCAATCTGTTGGAAACCAATGTTATTCTCATTAAATTCAAACCAGTTTTAAAGATATTTTTTATCAATCAAGATTTTAAAAAGTGGGAGGGTTGCGATCTATAAATTTACCAGTAGTTTTTCTTTTAAGAGAACTTTAACATCCAGAGAGTTTACTATTCCCCATACACGATTCAAAGTCCCGATTTGATTGAGTGAGGCTATGTATTCATACATCCTGGACAACAAAACGGACACCGGTTTTACTGCAGGATGAAAGGATAGGAAATGTTCAGGAAGAATATACTCTATACCCCAGCGAGCTTCTGATTGTGATATGAAGCAAGCAATACCGATGAAATAAGAAAATTCGAATTACACGTCAACTTCAAACTAAAATAAACCATTATACATCTACAGTAGAGTATGAAGTCTTCAACAATTTACCTTAGTCACGACAATATGTCAATTTCAGTCTTTACTTAAATTACCCTGTTCACATATTATATCTGGATTTTATTGTTTAAACAATTTATCAATGGCACAATATAAAAATACTGAAAATAAAGAGACGTATGATTGCCATGAAAAGTCCAATTTAATCTGTGTCTACCGTCACTTTGATGGTAATCCTTTCTTTTTTTTTTTTGCTCCCCGTGATGCTTTAGGCTGAGTTTGGATGGAGGGAGCGCCAAAAACCCAAACGGGCGTTTCCCAGGCTGGAGTCTCCTCCACAGCTTAAGCTCAAGAAATAACGAAAGGCAAAGCGAGACGACATTGGTCTGCATTAAAGGCGACGAAGCGGATACTGAGAGCCAGTTCACGCTGCTACAAAAACCTTAGGCACAAGGGAGAAATTCTCCTTTACGATTGATGTTTCATCGACCCACAAACAGGCGTAGCTCCGGGAATGACCCAAAGCCGCAATGTGCGTTCAAGATGTCGATGTTCAATGTGTCCTGCAATTCACATTAATTCACGCAGCTGGCTGCACTCTTCATTGACACACGAGTCGAGAGATCCACCGCCTAAAGTACTACATTTGTACTGGAACCACCGAATTGCCTTCAACAACGAGGAAATGTCGCATAATTAGCTAAAAGAGGTACCGACATTTAAAAGTGTACAAGAAGACCAACGGCCTGATTTATGACAAAACACTTAGCAAAAAATACACATATGACAGACAGAAACCAACGACAAAAACTGAATTGGGACAGACATTTAGAGATAAAGAATGTGACAGGAGTACTTTGTTCCATGTATTCTACCTATTGCTGGTACCTTTAGGTTATACGCAGTTGTTGTAATGTAGGTACAGGGAAAAAAAAAATATTTTAACTATAAGATGTGGTATGATTGCAAATGAGACCACTCTCCACCGGAGACCAAAATGACGTAGAATTTATCAACTATAGATCACGGGAAAACCTTCAATAATGAGCCAAACTCATACCGCATAACAAGCTTTAAAAGTTCCCGAAATGATAAATGTAAAAAATTCAAGCGAGAAACCTGACTACACTACTTATTTTAAAGTGTTTGATAAAAATGTCTATATCTGCGGCAAACTGGCATCTACATCGCCACTAACTGTATTGTTCATTTAGTGACAACATTTATATAACGAGATGTAAAAATACAATTGACCTAGTGCCCAAATGAATGTCAACCATATATTAAAAAAAAAGATTCCACAACCCTTTAGAAACACGAAACTGATTGGAATAGCGCTAGATTTTTTAATTTGTTTTATTGTCTGTTTAATAAACCACAAAAAGTAGACATTAATTACAAAAAATATTAAACTGTTCAACAGACCACTTTAATCCCTAACCAAATATACGTACACGGAAATACCAACACAAACTTACAACAAATGAATCTGATATAGATATAGGAAGATGTGGTATGAGTGCCAATGAGACAACTCTCCATCCAAGTTAAAATTTATAAAAGTAAACCATTATAGGTCAAGGTACGGCCTTCAACACGGAGCATTGACTCACACCGAACAGCAAGCTATAAAGGGCCCCAAAAAATTACTAGTGTAAAACCATTCAAACGGAAAACCATGCTTTGTACAGCACCATTCTATGGTGATTTCAACCAGTTTGCCGTATTCTACGATTGCTTAGTAAAGTATATTCGGAAAAATCCAAAACGAAAAATAAACAAAACCTGCATTGTCCAACTCCTAACAAAATGAACATTTATTTGAACAAGAATGTAAAAAAAATGGCATAATTTGAAAAAAGTTTGTTCAAAATGAGTTCGCTTACACATAAGACTCTCTAATGTAACGACGACTGTTTGTTGAGACTTTTTTTTTTGGGTGGGTGGGTGGGTGGAATTGATATCGAGAGGTAAACATAAGTCTTCATCAATAGAAATTTGTCCATATAATATGTCAAGCTCTGAATCGCCTTCAGTCTAAATAAATAATCGTGACTTATTTGTTTATGTTTTTGGGTCGAGGTACTTTTGCCGTATGCGTCTTGTATTGATTTGTCGTGTCTAAGTTTTAAATTATAGATTGAAATTTTGTATCCAATAGATATAAGAAGATGTGGTATGAGTACCAATGAGACAACTCTCCATCCAAGTCACAATTTGTAAAAGTAAACCATTATAGGTCAAATTACGGTCTTCAACACGGATCCTTGGCTCACACTGAACAGCAAGCTATAAAGGGCCCCAAAAATGACTAGTGTAAAACCATTCAAACAGGAAAACCAACGGTCTAATCTATATAAAAAACGAGACACGAGAAACACTTATGAACCATATCAACAAACGACAACCACTGAACATCAGTTTCCTGACTCATCCAACCCCAGAAAAATTTTGCCTAATGTCTTGTACCTATTCTTACTCACGTTACATATATTTTATATGATATTTCAATGATGACAATCTATGGTAATTTTATTATAAACCGACGATATGCTTTTTGCAAAGTAGGATGTATCCATATTTGTAATCAAACACAATTGGACAATTACCAAATGTTTTTTTATTTAAATATACATAAAAATTCTCCTTAGCTAGTTCTACAAAATGATAGTTCTTCCATAAGTTATGGTTCCAATTGAAAATGTTTTGTGTTCACGCTTGTTCAAATATTTAAACCAAACATTCTGTCCTAACAACAGATCGCCTAGATGAGGCTCCACAAGTTGACATATACATTCCCGTTGTTTCCAAGTGTCATGCCTGTTGTAAGATGATTTTGGTAGATTTCCCCAATGGATGATGTCATGCGAGAAGTATGCAATAGTACATTCAATTAATTTATCTGCCCATTCCTGTAATAGATAGTATACAAAGTTAAAAGCGTTATCAATAAATAAAAAGTTGATAAACATACTATGTAAATGGAATAAACACATTAAAAACAGTTCGTGCGACCGAAGCGATTTTCTGCATTTATCTTCATCAGTAACGTTCAAACCTAAACATGTGAAAGCTAGAGATACGTATATACACTGCAACATTTGGAGCTACCGAGGTATATATGACAAGAAATTAAAGACATAAACAAAGTTGCCAAATTCATCTTCTGTCAACTTTGCCTGACGGAGTTGGAACCGTTGTTTCTTAATATTTTCTTAACTTTTGAACGGGTAATTTTATATGAGTATATGTTATAAATCATGTCAGTACTGAAATACTGACCTCTGAGCTGATGATACCCTCGGGGAATAACAGACCCCAGCAGCGGTATCGAACCTGTGCTAGTAAATGAAATAGACACTTAATAAATATTGGACATATCACTATTGCTATGTTATGAATTGAATTATAAACTGTTATCACATATATGTCTCTCATGGGTAAACCTATCACAGAGATATGCATCTCCTGTGTAAACCTATCACAGAGATATGTCTCTCCTGTGTAAACCTATCACACAGATATATCTCTACTGTGTAAAACTATCCCAGAGATATGTCTCTCCTGTGTAAACCTATCACAGAGACATGTCTCTCCTGTGTAAACCTATCACAAAG